ACCTCCGGAGCCGCGCGCCGCGCTAGGCACCGCGTGCAGGGGCGTGCGTGGCTCCTTTCTGGTGCCCGGGCACCTGCTCCGTGGCCAGGACCCCAACCTGGGAACATCGGGGTGCTTGTCCCTGGAGAGACGCAGACCCCCGCACCCCCCCAACCACACACACACACTGGATCAGGCCTGGGTCTTCTAGCTGGAGTCCCTTCTGTCTCCTAGTCTCTCACCCCTGGCCTTCTGGGTGGCCGCAGTGGCCTCACTCAGAAACCCAGAGCCAGCAAGTAAGCTAGTCAGGGAGGCAGAGCACCCAGCTCTTGGTCTCAGGGAGGTCCTGCCCCGGGAGGCAGAGGCAAAGAGACAAGACAGGAAGTTTGAAAGACTGAGGACCCCCTGACCAGGGTGGAGAGGGGGCGTCCACAGGGCCTAGTGTGGTCAGGAAACAGGAGCCAGTCTGGCCTGGGCTGCCCCCCATAATGGAAGTTAGACAAGAGGCTTATCAGATACCCTTTAACCAATGTCTGTGTGTCCTGCTTCCTCATCTCAGATGGTTAGGTGTCAGACCCCAAGGACACCTCTGGGAGCTCGTGAGGCCTGGGGCTGCTCTGAAAAAGAGTCTAGTCTTATGAGAGAGGCAGAAGGAGACACATGAAAGGAGAGGCTTTAGCCTCCTGAGTGGGAGAGCATGCCCAGGGTGGAACAGCCTTCTAGGCAGAGGCTGGTGCAGGCCAGGGTGGCATGGTGAGGCTCTGTGGAGTGAGAAGATAGACCAAGGAGGATGAGGTTCTTGGACCCTTTGCTAAGCTGCGGAGTTCTTCACGAGTCATTGAAGGTAATGGCCAGGGCTTTGCCTTGCCCAAGCTTGCATTTTTGAGTAGAGCTCACTCTGGTATCCGGGCAGGGAGTGGGCCTGTGTAAAGGCTAGAGTGGAGGAACTGCTACAGAGGATCTCCCAGTGGGTCGCCACATCTCTCTCCTACCCTCCGAAGAACTCACCCTGGAGCCCCTGTCCTAGGACTGCAACACCACGCTGTGCATTTGAAAACTGCTCTGCCTGTGTGGGAGAGAAGGTTGGGACTCAGGATATCAGCAGAGTGTCTGCTGCCTGCCAAGAACAAGACTGCAGCTGGGCATGGCCTTTAGGGGGCAAGAGCAGAGATACTGGACATTCTTGTGTCTTGTCCTCCAAGTCTGGATGCTGCAAGAGCTCAGCTCCCAGAATACCATCTCTTACTGTGCACCTATTGAGCATCCACTGTATGCCTGACACTCAGCATGCTGTTTGGAACCAAGTTTGAGCTTGCCACCAAAGATCTGTCATCACCTGTACCACCCAGACCGAGGCACTGAGCTTGAACACACTCTGCCTTAGATGATCCCCTACTCCTCTCCTGGTCCAGCCAGTACCCCAAAGATCAGGCCACAGAACCCGATGCAGTATCTACAGGATCTGTAGCCCACTAAACATCAGTGAATGGCTCTAGAAGATGAGGGAATGAGGCGTGTGGGGTGGGCAGGACAGACCCGCTCCTAAATGAACAGCCCATCTGGGCAGACAGCAGACATTCTGTGTAAGGGAAAATTTACTAACACAGTGGTCTTGTTCATGGAGACTGACAGAAACACCACCCGATCCTCACTGCTGAATCAGCCAGCAAGGCTCATTCTGACGGGAAGCATTTCCTGGGTACCTACTGTGTGCTGGAGACCCAGGAAGAGGAAAAGAAGGTAGATGCTCTGCCAGCTTAAACATCAGTCTCCCCCTGCTAGCCTAGGTCTGTCTGGATCCTGACACCGCCTCAGAAAACGGTCGCTTCGATGGCATGGGTCTCACCTCAGATCTTCCTCCATACCCTAGCAATGGATCCTGCTCATATGCACGCGTGCACGCGCGCGCGCGCGCGCGCACACACACACACACACACACAAATAAACAAATATAGGATTCCATCAGGCCACTGGAGCCCCTGCAATACCATAGTATTGTGACCCACGAAAAGCTGAGTGGGAATCAGATGTAGGTGTTTCTGAGCAGGGAGGCCACCCCTGTCATCTACAGGGACTGAGATGCCACATCTAATAGCTCCCAAGGAGACAGGTCCTGGCCAGTGGTACCCTCTGAGTTGCCATTTGCAAGTCCCTGGTGGGCAGATTTGCACGTCGGTACTCCTGTCCTCAGCCCCTCAGTGATGTCGGAGTCCTTCGTTGCTGTTAGGGAACCTTCCCAGCTGTCTCCTTGCTGTCTTATTGTTGCAACACTCTAGC